TTTTTTTTTTTTTTTTTTGGTACTGGGGATTGAACTCAGGTCCTTGCGCTTGCAAGGCAGGTGGTGAACTGCTGAGCTAAATCCCCAGCTCCAAAATTCTTAATGATGCAGATACATAGTTGTACAGTTATTGAAAACACTATTATAAATACCTGATTGATAAATATTTGGAACTTTTTTCTTTTTAAAGTCATTTAGCTGAAAGATAAACCATTATTAACAGCTCAGCAGTACTGAACTACAGTCACAGGATTAGAGTCTATAAATATTTCTACAGAGAGCAGACATTTGAATAAACTATTTAAAAATGAAATTCAACAAAGTCCATTTATGCTTAATGCTTTATTCTGCAACATCTGTGAAATCCTGTTTTCAAAATAACCAAATACTACAGAGTTAATGTTTAAATGTTATTTCAAATTAAAGTTCACTGTATAAAGTATATACATCATATGCTGTACAGGTGAGTGTATCTATCAGATATAATTTTGACATTTCCTCGAGGACAGAGAACTTACTAAAAAAGAACTAAAAATCCAAGCACATGGATTATTCTATTGCTGGCTTTGCACAAGGTTTATGACTGTATGTAGTAGGATGAGTTGTAAAGTACAGACTGTTGTAGGGCCAGGAGATATGGAACTTTAGAGAAGTGCCACTCTCTGAATTAAATGGAACCCTTCCTTATTATAGCCGGTGTTCCTGAGTGGGCTCAGGCTCCGAAAACACTGGGCAAAGGAAAGGCAGTTTGCAGGGTCCTCTTAAGGGCGCTTCTGTTTGGGGAGGGCTCGGAGAGAGAGAGGGAGCACAAGTGGAATTTCACAGGAGCAGAACTTTGCCAAGTCTGTGAGGGTCAGGGACAGTTTCACACAGGTTAATTAAAACAAAGTATCACACAGGCGTGAGTCTTCTGCTTACAAGTTAGTAGATAACACAGTTGCAGACCGCTCCGCCGAAAGGTCACAAAGATACCATATAGGTGCAGACTCACACAGGACGGAGTGGTCTGTTGTGCATTAACAGAGGGGCTTCCAAGGGGAGGGGAAGGGGAAGGCAACCACCTGGAATCGCTCAACTTTACACAAATGGGGTCAGCTTGGCCACCGCGCCTGGAGAAAGCAACTTACGCCGAGCACGTGAGCGCTGCCAAGGCGGCTGCGCTGCCACCGGAACTCCCCCCGGTGATCAGCCACTCGGCAGCCTGGCTCTCGCCCTGGGCCTGCTGCTGCCTCTTCTCTCTTCTCTGTTTTGAGTAACTCCAGGGATTCTTAACTGGCCCAAATACTCCATCTGTGCTTCCAGATCTGAAATGAAGGGTAAAACGAGATGCCTTAGTAATTTTATGTGAAATTCCCATCTCCTGAGTGTCTGTTATTTGCTTTTGACACCTGGAGCTTTTCATATCCCACGGTAGCTGGCACTGGAAAAGAAGCCTGCTCAGATGTAACTTTTACAGAGTTAGGTGAGGTGGTGGTGGATGAAGGGAAAGCAATTCAGAAAGTGGAGAAGAAGATTTTATCCCAGTTGATCATCCAGTTGAACTAAAAATGACTTCCCATAAGTTAAGGTCTTCCAGTTGGAAAGAGGCACAGACATTCAAGTCCACTAGTCAAGAACATTTTGAAGGAAATCTTCCCTTAATCAGAAGCTTTAAGAAAAGTATTATAAGTGGAATACTAATAACTTTTGAAATTTAAGAAAAATGTTATTCTAGGATAAACTGCAAAAATAAAAATAAATGAAGCACTTTTATATCCTTTACTCACATGTACCTATAGCTAATATTGCATTCCATTTATCATTTGTATGCTGTGTCTATACACACATTATTTTCCTGAACAACATAACAGTAATTTATATATATCATGGCCCTTTACCTCTAAATACTGTAGTATGTATTTAGTATGAATTTCCAAAGGACATTTTGCTTACAGGATAGTTATCAATCACAGTAAAATTCACATCAGTACTGCTGCCTGCCTTGCAAGCGCAAGGGCCTGAGTTCAATACCCAGTACCAAAAAAAACAAAGACAAAACAAAAACAAAAAAAACTTCACATCAGTACAATACTGTATATAGACTAATATTTTGAGAGTGGGTCTCATTATATAGTTTAATCTGGTTTTGAACTCACAATGTAGGCCAGACTGTTCTTGAACTCCCAGTGATCCTCCTGCCTCAGCTTCCTAAGTGCTGTGATTACAGGTGTGTGCCATCAGGCCAACTGTAGTCTGATTTTATCAGCTGGTTCAATAATGTACTTCTAGAGTCAGGTATTACATTTAGTTATCATTGTCTCTTTAGCCTCCTTTTTCTTTTTCATTATTTTGTCTTTATCAGTTAATGGACACTGGGCCATTTCCAGTTTGGAGCAATTATGAATAACGCTACTAGAGGTTTTATACTGAAAACTAGAGCTTTTATGTAAAAATAAATTTTAATAACTTGGGAAAATACCTAGGACTGGGACTATGAGGTTATATGGTCAATATGTGTTTAGCTTCATAATAAACCACCAAATTATTTTCCAAAATGGCTGTACATTTTGCAGTCCCTACCAGCACCGTATAAGAAATACAGTTTTCTCTGCATCTTTGTCAGTACCTGATATTGCATATTTTTCTTTTCCTTTGGAGGGGGGGTGGTACTGGAGATTGAACCCAAGGCTTTTGCACTGAGCTAAATCCCCAGTCCATTTTTATTATTTTTATTTTGACCCAGGGTTTCTTTAATTGCCCAGGCTGGGCTCAAACTTACCCTCTTGCCTCAAGCGATCACAGAGTGCTGGGAATGCAGGCATAAACCACCACACCCAGATGATTTGGTCATTTTAATAAGTGTTACATGATTCGATGTGGTTTAAATTTGCATTTTTTAAATGCTAATGATACTGAGTATTTTTTCATGTATCTGTCATTTTAATAAAAGCATTGCTTAAATCTTCTGCTCATTTTGTAAAACATAGGGTTGATTTCTTATTGTGTTGGAAAAGAGTCTTGTATATTTTGGATACCAGTTCTTACACTTAATCTTAGCCAAAAGGCCGAGAAGCGATGGATACCAGTTCTTGCAAATGTTTTACAAATATTTTCTCTCATCTGAGGCTGCTTTTTCAGTTTTAGTCTATTTCAAAGAATAGAAAATTTTTGTTTTCTGTTGAGGTGCTGGGGAATTGAAACCAGAGCCTTATACAGGTCAGACAAGCACTTGAGCACTGAAATACATCCAGAGCCAGAAGTTCTTTTTTAATGAAGTCCAATCTATCAATTTTTCAAATGGATTTATCCTTTATGTATCCTAAGAATCTTACCAAACTTAAGGTCACAACAATTTTCTCCGAAGTTTTTCCCCTATTTTATAACTTCAGGTTTTGCATTCTGTAGCCTCTTTTAATTTGGACATTTTTCATATCCTTTGTTTTTACATGACTTTTTTTTTTTTTGGTACCAGGGAGTAGTCAGGACCTTGTGCTTGGGAGGTGGTGGAACCACTGAGCTAAATCCCCGGCTGTATATGACATTTTATCAGAATGTTTCTCATTTTGGATTGATTGTATATGTTTTCTTGTTATTAGGTTCAGGTTACACAGTCTCTGGAATATCACACAGGTGATAGTGGGTCCAAGTCCACTTTGCCTTCACTGGTGATGTTCATTTTCATCAGCTATGAAGGCAGTGACTTAAAAACCCATGGGAGGAGGATTTTGCTCATTGGCACTGTGCCTGCCTTGCAAGTGCAAGGTCTTGAGTTCAATCCCCAGAACCAGTAAAAACAAAACAAAACAACAAAAAACCCTATGTTTCCGCTTATTTCCATAGTTGAGTTCATTAAATATACACTGCTCAGAGCTGGGCATGGTGGCACACTCCTGTAATCCCAGCACTCAGGAGGCTGAGGCAGGAGGATCGCTGTGAGTTCGAGACCAGCCTGGGCTACATAGTGAGTTCCGGGTCAGTCTCAACTACATAGTGAGACCCTGTCTCAAAAAACAAAAAAACAAACAAAAAAACACAAACCATATACTGCTCAGTACCAAGAAATGTGAAAATGAATCAAGTGCTATGTTTCTATGAAACTGGAAACATGAATCAGTAAATATCACAAGTATTAAAAAGGGAAAAATCTAGAGTGCTTTTGGTGAAAAATTAAATAAATGCTTTTCCCCATGAACAAGAACAGGGCAAAGATATTTGTGCCTACCACTTCTATTCAACATTGCACTGAAGGTACTAACTGGTACAGCAAGGAAAGACAAAGAAATGAGAATTGCTTCTATTTACAGACTCCAATATAATCTACATAAAATAGTTCAAGGTATCCACAAAGATCAATTAACACTAATACATGAGCTTTAAGTAGGTCATGGAATATGAGGTCAATAAAGAAAAGTAAATTATATTCCTATCTTCCAGCAATAAAGATTCAAAATTTGAACAACATACCATTTTATTTTCTTTGGTGTACTGAGGATAATAGGCATGTACCACCACGTCTGGCCATACCATTTTCTATGGCATTAAAAAACGTAAGACTCAGCCGGGCGTGGTAGCTCTTGCCTGTAATCCCAGCACTCGGGCGGCTGAGGCAGGAGGATCACTGTGAGTTCGAGATCAGCCTGGGCTACAAAATGAGTTCCAGATCAGTCTCAACTACACAGTGAGACCCTGTCTCAAAAAACCAAAAACCAAAAACCAAAAAAACATAAGACACTTGGGAATACCTTAAATTATACAATTTATAGATAGAAAAAGACAAAAATTAAATGCTTAGCAGAAAAATCACAATATTGCTGAGAAAAATTTCAACTTCAATTAGCACAGAGATACTTGTAAGGTGTTGGGATGAGAAGGCATGTATGAAGACGCTGAGCATGAAGACACCAATTCTTCCCAAACTGATCTATGAAAAAATCCCATAGACTCCTTAGTAGAAGAAGCTGGTTCTAAAACTTATACAAAAGACCCAGACTATATATATAACACAGTTTTGAAAAAGGAAAAAGTTGGAGGACTCTCACTACCTAATTTCAAGGCTTATAAAAGCTACAATAATCAAGATGACGTGATACAGGAATAAACAAAGATAGAAGAGTCCAGAAATAGAACTTCATGCATGTGTTTGATTTTTGACAAAAGGAAACTAAGGCCATTTAATGAGGAAAGGATTAGCCATTATTACCAAGAGCGCTGGAATGATGGGATATTCATATGCAAGAAAACAATAACCAAAGCCTCTATTTACACCACATATAAAAACTTAATTCAAAATAGATTACATGTTTAAATGTAAGAGCTAAAATTATGAACATCTAGAAAAAAATTTTTGTGACCTTGAGTTTGGTAAAGATTTCTTAGGACATATAAAGCATGAAGGCATTTTCAGAGAATGAAAAGCTAAAGCTTGGAGGATATATTTGTAACTCACCTATTTGATAATGGACTTGAATCCAAAGTATATGGAAGAACTCTTACAATTTATTAATAAACAACACGATTTTAAAAACTGGCAAAAGATTTGAATAGATATGAATGGAAAAATAAACATGAAAGGATGTTTAGCATCATTGTTCATGAAGGAAATTAAACTAAAATCAAAATGAGCTAAGACTGTGTATCTATTAAATAACAATATAATTTCACTGAAAAACTAAGAAACTGGCATTAGGATCCTCAAGAAATCACATCAATGCTTTTAGACTTCCATTTAATGAAATTAAAGGCACAGAAGAAATACAAGAAAGGAAAATTTTGATTTTACTTACCCCATAGCAAACTCATCTAGATTTGTTTTTCCCATTAGTAGAGCTCCCTGATCCAACAACTTCTGAACTACTGTAGCATTAAAAGGTGGTATATAGCCTAAAAAAATTTATATTTATCATAGGAAAGAAAACAGCAGATGTAAATTATATACAGAAAATAAGATTTTAAATGAGAAGTGTTCACTATTCCTAACTTAAACAGTGGATTGTACTTTTTCAAAGTTAATCTTTTCTCTAGCCAACTGTATTTTTTCCAAAGACAGTCTACATTCACTACTTTTATAATCTAAAAACACTGATTTTAACAGCACTACATAATATTGCATAATAGAGATATAACCAGTTCATTTGAAATTTGTAATTCCAAATTGTTTGTTCATTGTACTTGATTTTTTTTCTTAGGTTAATTTTTTTGGAAGGGAGGCTTAGTTTTTTGAGACAGGGTCTCACTGTGTAGTTCAGGATGGCTCTGAACTCATTATGTAGCCCAGGCTGGCCTGAAACTCACAGTGAACCTCCTACCTCAGCCTTCCAAGTGCTGGGATTACATGTGTGCAACACCACATCTGGCTTCTTAGGTGATATTATACAGGAATTTTAAAATATTTCTCATTAGAATAGACCTTTTTTTGCAATTACAATTTCCTATCTAGTGAAAAGCTTAGTGTACACTCCAAAGCAATTTACAATAGTCCACCTAGTAGAGAAACTTGGGCACAGCTCTCGTGGAATATCACTTTTAGTGTGTAGTACTCTGAACAACCTTTTCTCCATTTCTTTTTTCTCCTGAGATCCAAGTATCTTGATAAACATGCTAGCTGTTGACTTACTAGACTGTGAGAATAACGCTGAGCATGGGCATACTGTGTTGTAAGACAGGGAGTGCTACGGAGGCAGCAAATGACCGGTGAGTGATCAATCACTAATGAATCCTTTCATCCACAAGGAAAGGGTGATGACAGCCAGCTCAGATGCATTCCCAGCTCTCAATATGCTGACTGAGAGGTCATTTAAGTGTGTTTGTGGGGATCAGTTATATAATCTTCTTAAATAAGAATAGTTTCTAAAACTTTTGAAATAGCATTCTTTTATTAAGCTTGCCTACTTCTTAACAGTAATTCTGCATTCTGAAAGAGCAAACTGTAAAAAACTGCTCTGCTTCCTTCAAAGATGTAATCTCTACCTAATGGTTCTTCAGTATCTTTAAACTAAAAAGTACCTGTTTTTATAAAGCCATTAATGCTCTGATCAGTTACATTTTACCTTTTAGCATATTTGATGCACACGTTGTCTCGATGCCAGATGTGCTGAAGTTGTCTTTTACTGCAACAGGAATTCCATCCAAATCCCCAAGTGACTGACCTGAATTAGGGGACAAGGGTTCAAAAAATAAAGATACACTAACCTGGTACTAACTTTTATAACCACCACTAATTTTTGGCACTTATACTTTTTCAGAAATCAAATATATATTGTAAATTATTATAGTTGGACATTATAAAGCATCACATAGCCATTAGCCTCAATTTTATTATACTTCATGCCAAGTCCTTTAAATAGGGAATTTTATGTTTAAACCTTCACTTGCCAAACGGAGACAGCTACACCCAATTAAATTCCTTCTCTGGAGATTAAGTAATATTGAAAGTAATCTAGTTTTTCACACCAGAGAAATGATACGGTATTTACACATGTGTCTTATTTATTTCACTTAAGAGCATGGCCTCAATGTGCATCCATTTTCCTCTGAATGACTAGTTTCTCATGAAAAACTAAAAGTGTAAACTGTATAACTGTATACAAATTGTATAACTGATAATGTGAAATAGGAAGAAAAGGGCTAAAGGTGTAGAGGAAGTGGAAAGAGCAGGGGAAAGAAAATAAGGGAACAGAAAAAATATGAGAAAATGAAAAAATGGAAACAAAGTCTTTGTAAATAGGGGAGGGTGGAGGAGGTTAAGGGAGGGCAGGGGTATGGGGAAAAAATGAGAACCAAGATCTGTCATGTAAGGGTACAAGATCCCAATGATAAATGTAACTGTACTGTATACTTAAAAAGTACCAAACTCAGTAAGATTTAAAAAAAAGAGAAATACAAAGAAAAAAAAGAAAGTAATTTACCTTTCTTGTATCTTTCTTCTGATTCTTCAGCCTGCTTTAATGCTACCTCTTCTGAAACTGTAATGTAAGCATTTAGAAACTTGGTCTTCTGGATAAGGGAGAGACATTTCCGACAGAGTTCTGTTGGTGTAATTTGGCCTTGTTTCAGTGCCACAGAAACCTACAACATAAACAATTTAAAAAGCTTTCAACTGAGTGTGCAGACATTCCAATATTATACTGAGGGGTCAACAGAGTGGCTAAGCAATTTTAAAGCAAGGGTTGAGTTCACCATCAAGGGACAGCACCCGGCCTACACTTGGTAAATGAAGAGCCGTGAGTGAGAATGAGAATGAGTTGGGGGACATGGCATTCCTCTCCCTAATAGCTAATTTCCTAAGTTAGGCTTGAACAAATGATAGTGATAGTTTAGGAACATCATCCTGGCCAGAAGTTGAGGTCCAGCCTGGTAAAGAATGGGTTAGGGGATTGCAAGTGCAAGGACCTGAGTTCGATTCCCGGTACCCAAAAAACAAAACAAAACAAAACAAAAAAACCAAAGAATGGGTTAGGGGAGATTATATACAAAGATTGGCTTGGCTGCAATGTAAGAAGTCAAGAGTAAAAAAAAGTGAACTGTATAAGGTACCATAGGACCTGATGGCTCTTAAGATCTGTATAATTATTGTGGAATTCAAGTATGAACTGCTATGACGTGAGAGGAATGCTCATACAGATTCAAAGCAACTAAAAAAACTTCTGAAATTCTGTTTATTGTGCATTAGAAAGGCTACTACAGAAAGCATTAAAATAAACTGTAAGATGGGCTAGGAGTGACAGACCACATGCATGAAGGCCTGCATTCAATCTTCAGCACTATCACACAGAAACTCTATGTGAAGCTGGATGCGCTGGCACCTACCTGTAACCCCAGCATTCTGGGGGTGGGGGCAGGCCAAGAGGATTGCAAGTTCTAGCTCAGGATGAGCAACTTAGTGAGACCCTGACCCAGAATAAGAAATAAAAGCAGGACTGGGGATGTAGCTTGGTGTAAAACCCTGAGTTCTGTCCCCAGTACTACAAACAAACAAAACTACATGAGAAGTGACCAGAACTCATATGTACCGACTGATAGGAAGTAAGAGTGCAGATGAGGTGTGATTGTTTAATATTTCCTATAGGAAGCAATAGGTTGCTTACTAATCAGACAGAAAGAATGAATAACAAGAAGTCAGATGACACCAAAGCTTTGGAGGTTATATAAAAAGAGAGTTGGATTATCCAATGTTTAGAGTTCAAAGACAAAGGGGATAGGGAAATGAATAATACTGAGCGTTTCCCAAATGCCAAGTATCGCTGTTGTGTATGTATTATTAATTCATTGAACCCTTAAAACAACCACACAAATTAGGTATTATAATCTCATTTTAGAGATGAAGAAACTGAAGCTGAGACATTGCGACATCCAATAGTAAAGGATAGAGTAACTTCATAATATCACTTCCTCATCATCTCTTTCCTGGGGTGGCGAGTGTTGCTAGGGATCAAACCCATGGTCTCACACATGCGAGGCAAGTAAGTGATCCTCTACTGAGCTACACCCTTAGCCCTTTTAATCATTTCTATCTCTGGTAGAATTTTACTTTGTCCTTCAAACTGGTGGTATTTTAACATGTTCAATATGCATCAAGCAACAGGCAAGAGCGTTTAAGGGAGAAATTAGTTACTGAATAAGTCATTAAACATTCTTAGGCCTGAGGGTTTTAAATGAACCAAGTTGAGGGAAGAGGCTGTTGGGAGGAGCCCTAATAGTCACTGACAGGAGGAAAAGGACTTTGGCAGGGAGGCTGCAGGAGTGATGGGATGGGCAGCAGTAGATAGGCTTGGTTTACAGAGGTAACTTAGAAACAGGAAGAGATGTTAACTGGTTTGTATGAAATGTAAACTCCTTAGAAGAAAGAAGCTAAAAAGAAATAGACGATAGCTGTGTATTCCAACATTGTGAATGGAGAATGGGCAAAAAGAAGACAGCGGTAGGCTGCAAGAGTTAGACAGAGCAGTACACAAGCAGGCCTATCCCACGGCAAAGCTGGAACAAGGAAATGTGTCTGCCACCTTCTCCTCCCCTGACCCCTCAAGTTTAATGCCTGCTGTCCGTAAATGCTGACTGCTAGCTGGTCTGTGAATAAAAGCTAAGGACTCACAGTGTGATTAGAAAGGCAAGAAATACAATCATTGAGGAACACTCATTTTAAACGGAGATCTACATGAGAATCATTTTCAGGAAATTTATATTGGAGAAAATCAGTAAGGGAATTGGAAAAGAGAAGTGAAAACAAAGATGCTTATTAGCTACAACAGACTGAGCATAAAGAGTTCGGAATGTAAATCATACAGCTCCTCTGGGACAAAACTGCAGGTGTCATGTCTGAATACAAAGCAGTCAACTTTTCAAATTTTTCTTAAAAAATTTTGCTCTCCTGGCATTTCTTTTCTCTTGTGGAAACTGGGCCTTCCCCTGAGGCCACGGCTTCCTGTTTTCACTAACACCATGTACCACAGGGTCCACTGGTGGAGGGGGTACGCGCAGGTGTCCTCCTGACTCAATGCCTTTCTCTCCTCCCTCCCCTCAGAAGCCCCCGCTCAGCTGACCCACACACCCTGGAGATACCACTCTCCTTCCTCTTCCTCCTGCTGTATGCTAGTTTGTCTGGTGCTCCCTTTTCATTCATTGATGATTTAGTGCCAGGCTCACTACCATCTTTGTTACTATTTTCCTGTCAGGTTCACATGAAATGTCAAGTCAACATATACTGACACCTGACCTCACCACACCCAAACCGTCCCTTCATCTCACCCCGTTAACCAGCTCACCTGGCAAGAACAGCTCAGACTAGGAAATCATTACTCCTATCTTTAAAGTCTCCTAAATCTCAGTTTTAGCCATCTCGCATTTCCTGTCCTCTCAACGCATTTACTTTTCTACTCACACAGCCCCCAAGGAGATGGTGACTTCAGTTCCACCACCGTAAGAAAATGGATTCTGCCAACAATCTCTAAGGTAGAAAGAGGACCCCACACTCCTGAAATTATAGCCCTGGCTAACACCTTGATTTTAGCCTTATGAAATTGAACAGAGAACTCAGCTGTTTTATGCATGGACTACTAACCCACAGAACTGAGACAGTAAGAGTGCATGGTTTTAAGCTGCTCAGTTTATACTCATTTGTTATGCAGTAATAGAAAACAAAATAGAACCTTAGAAAAAGTAAGACATTTCCATCAAGAACCACTTCATGGAAAGCAAGGGAAGAGAAACTTATAAATATGTATACTTTAATAATTTTGTCCCTGCAATACAATTAATATTAGCTGACACTTAGTTCTAGTCATTGTCTGAGATACTTCTCTTTCATTTAATCATCATGTCCACACTAGGGGCTGATATTTTTGCTCATCTTTCAGATAAAGAACGAGGTTCCTGCTTGTGGTCACACAGCTAGAAAGAGGCAGAGCTGGGATTCAATCAAAGCCTGCTCTCATTTTCAAAATCCATGCTGTGCACCACTAAACTGTAACATTTCTCTTTATCTTTATCCAAGGCATTATGGTATCTATGCCCTATAACAAAATGGAGAACATTTTTATTAATTAATTAATTTATTTTTCTGTGCCAGGGATTGAACTCAGGACCTTTCGCTTGCAAGGTAGCCAGTGGAACCACTGAGCTAAATCCCTGGCCCTGAAGAACATTGTGATTAACTTTCCAGGTAATATCAGAAGTTCACTTAGGAAAGGAGACTCTTTCCAACAAGAATTGCCTTGATAAATGCTAAAGATAAGAGAGCTCTTTGGGACTGGTGTCCAGCTGATGGGTACTCATTCGCTCTTTAATACACCCTACTTACGTTGCGTGAAAGTGTGTGTTAAGATCACTAGCAGCCTTTACACTGCTAAACCCAATCAATGCCCAGTCCTCGTTTTATAGTACTTCTTAGTAGCACAAGTGACTGCTCCCCTCTTGCATCACTTACTTTCAGGTACCATACCATCCTAGGTTTCCTCTTGCCTCTCTCACTATTCCTTCAGATCTCTTACAGGCTTTACTTCCTACTGCTGACCTGTAATATGGGAAAGTTTTACTTCTACTTTTATACTTGTCTTCCCAGGGGAACTCGTCTGGCCATGGAGATTAATCACAGTATCTCCTATACTCTTTCATTTATATTTTCCTATCTAGCTTCTTCCCTCAGCTGTATACTCTTACATCTACTTGCCTCACTGACATCTTCTAGACATCTAGGAGGCATTTTGAAATTAACAGCTCTATTGCTCACCTGGGCAGCACATATACTAACGTTGCAGTGGTGCAGAGAAGAGGAGCCTGGCCCCTCTGCAAGGATGACACCCAAATTCATGCAGCGTTCCATATTACTCAAAACAATTAGATCACCTGAAATAAAAGGCCCAATCAAGAAATGGGCTACAGGACCGGGGATTTAGCTTAGTGGTTCTGCTGCCCGCCTTGCAAGCGCAAGGTCCCTGGTTCAATCCGCAGTACCAAAAAACAAAACAAAACAACAACGACAAGAAAACCCCAACAACAGCAACAACAAAAATTAACAGAAATTAACAGACACTCACAGAAGGAGTACAAATGGCCAATTAATATACGAAAAACTGTTCAACATTTCTGGCCATTAGAGAAATGGAAATTAAAACAATGCTAAGATTCCACCTTACTCCAGAAAGAATGGCAATCATCAAGAAATCAAAAAATAACAAATGCTGCTGAAGCTGTGGTGAAAAATGAGCCCTCCTGCACTGTTGATAGGAATGTGTTATGGGCTTGCTTTTAGATGTCATCCTAAAGCCTCAAAGGGTCGGCTTTTTCAAAGGCGGCTGGATCTAGAGTATATGATTGATTAATGCTGTAATGCTAGGCCTAAGGGCACTAGGATTAAGGATGTGACATGAGTGCTATCTGCCCTGTGTAGTCTGGATAAGATAAAAGGGGCAGAGACACCATTAAGCTCTCTGGTTGTTTGTGCTGTCTTCCATCCCCCTGAACTGCTGTCCCTCTGCTACCCTGCCTTGCAGCTAGTAGATTATGACCTGAAACCTCTACAAAGGATGAGCCAAATAAACCTTTTCCTCTTTAACTTTGGGCATTGGGTATTTTTGTATCAGCAACAAAAGAACAGTATTAACACAAAGAATGTAAACTAGTACAACCATTATGGAAATCAATATGGAGATTTCTAAGAACTAAAATTAGAAATTCCATATGACCCAGCTAACCCTCTTCTACAGGTCTTCCCCGAAGAGCTAAAGATACCACATCACCGCAATACATGCATATACATGTTTATAATATAAACATTTACAAATATAATTTAAATATAAATGTTTCTTAATAGTTAAATATAAATGTTTCATAATAGTTAAATCCTAGCAGCAGCCTATATATCCATCAACAGATGACTGAATAAAGAAAAGGTGGTATTATACATAATGGAATACTACTCAACTATAAAGAAAGACAAATTTAAGACATTTGTAGGAAAATGTAATGTTGAGTGAAATAAACCAGACACACAAGCTCAGATACCATATAGTATCTCTCATTTGAGTAAGACAAAGTACAAAGAGATTAATAGATGGATAGGAGTCAAGGGAATGGATTTCTTGCAAATGGGAAGAGGTTCAAGAGACAAATAAAAGGGAAGAGGGAGGGAAAGGGGAAATAAGTAGAATAAAGATGTGCCATGTATAGGAACCTAACAACCTCAATGAATATAAAAATTATATTCCATAAACATGAGCTAGGATTAATAATATCAACAGAATGAAAACAGGGAAAGAGGAACAGGGTGGGGGGAGAAAAGGGAAAGGTATTAAAAAAAAAGAAATAAATTGTATTATGTACATGTACCACTCCCCCAAATGATTGTAAACTTCATGTACTGTAAACGTGTACTAAAAAAAAAGTTAACAGCTCTAAAACAGAAATCTTGGTTCTTTAACTTTAGTGCTTGGGAAAACTGAGTTTTTGGACCCCATTGCAAGAGGAGCCATTGAAAAGCTCTTAATACCATAGCTCAGAAGAAAGGAACAGAAATAAGTAATCAGGAAGATGCCTCCTCTTAAAATAGATGTACTGGTCTCCACAAATGAGCTATGAAGTGTTGCACATCATATGAGAGTTCAGTGGTGTGTGCTCAATTGTAAAGCAGGTGGTGTTAGAGTACACGGATGATTTCTTGAACTTTAGAAAGTTAAAGGGAGCAAGTAAGCAGGGTCAGTCACAAAATAAAATTGCTGACATAAATGCAGAAAAGAGAAATGCTCACAGAAAGCAGAGGAAAGGGCCAAAGAAATTAATATATGAAGAGAAGAGAAAAAGAGACATGTAGAGAGCCTGTTCAGGAGGTACAATCTATGGGTGACGGGAATACCTGAAACAGACAAAGCAAATGAAGCAGAAGCAATGATTAAGAGACGTGTTTGAAGAAAACTTTCCAGAGTTGACGAATGAAGCAGGCCTGCAAATGAAGATGGGTACCTTGAAAATTTAATGAAAAGAAAACAACATCTAGACATAACCTGATGACTTTTTAAAATTTCAAGGATAAAGAAAAAAATTTGCAGGTATCCAGATGAGGAAAGTAGGTTACCTATAGAGGGGCAAAAGTCAGACTGACATCAGATTGTTCTCTTACAATTCTAAATGCCAGAAGACAATGGAACAATGTCTACAGAGTTTTAAGGGAAAATAATTTTGAACCAAGAATTATATACCCTGGCAAGTTAGTATTTTTATATAAAGGCAACAGGAAGATATTTTCAGATACCAAGGGGTTAAGCAAGTATATCAATCAAGAATCTTTGCTGAAAATTTTGCTAAGTGATTTACTGCAGTCAATAGAAAAATTGAGGAGTTGAGAGAACACTTGTATGAAAGGTTTTGTAGTAATCATTAAAAGAAGCATGAAGTCTACAATTGTTACATATAGGGTAATAAACCTAAATGCAAAACAGATTTGTAAGCTAGATCTAAAATTTTCAGCTTATGTAGTTTTAAACTGTCAAAGTTCATGCCAAATATTCAATGTATTGGGCAAATATATACTGTTTTATTTTTTCCATGTTATATTATAAAAATGCATGTTGTTAAGCCAAACGTATGTTACACAAAAGTGCTTTGTCATTTTGGACAGGCCAAATACAATAAGGACATTCTAAATGTTAATATGGCAAAACTGGGAAATAGTATACTTTTATTTTCCTTAAAAAAAACGAGCATGTTCATAAAGTTAATATGGAAAAACGTAAGGAGGAAATTTCCACAGCACTGGTTGGAGAGGTGTGAATATGTTTAAATACTTGAAAGGGAAAACCAGTAATTACTATGTCAGATGGTAGTTCATGTAAGTCAATTTGTCATTGAGTTGTTGACAAAAATAGAAGCCACACATTCCAAATTTCGGGGATCGAAAAGAATGAAAATGCAAGAAAAAGTAACAAAAGAAAAATACCTCCATGCAGAGATATTCCCTTTATACAGCAAAGTATAAAAAGCTATGAAAAATCTGCCAGGCTGATGAGTTTTGGGCCTGTGTGGTAGGTAGGCTAGTGAGAAACCAGGGAATAGAAGTACTTCCTGTCAGATGATTACTTTTGATCATCTTAGGGAATTTTCTGATATCAACAGTAATGATTACATAACAGCATAAAACAAAATCAGAGTTTTAGTGAGCAGAGGTTGCTAGAATTCCAATATGTAAAAGTTCTTCCTATTCACTAATTTTCCAGACACCCTATTTTTTAAAGGAGTATCCTTCTCCACGGAGCACAAGTCACTTCAAAAATGTAACAATGTGCTACTCAAAATTAGCTGTAAATGAGTATGTGCTAAGCAAATTGAGTGATACCATTTTTGTAAAGCGGTTCACTTTATTAATAAATACTACTGGTGAGAAAAAAGAAAAGAAAAATATCTGGGAAGAGTTAAAATCTGCATAAAAGATATTGACAGAGCTAGAGGTGAATTATAAACTGGTTAAGTTCTCAATTAATAAGATCTCAATTGGCCAGGGATGGAGCTCCATGGCACCTTGCCTGCCTGACAAGTGCAAGGTCCCAAGTTCAACCTGGTGGAGAGGTGTGGGGCTGGGACCCACATGGTGATGATGACAACCCTCAATAGAGTTAAAAAAAAAATCAATCTCTGATTACAGATACTCACAGTTCTATAAACAAAGGTTAAATGGGTTTAAAAGTAACAGAAACTCTTTAGGTTATAGAAGTGGAGAGCGATGTTTTTATTAGGCAGAAATAATGCTATTATAAGATATTTCACATTTAAGAGGCTTTATGTGGCCTTCATATGTAAGGTTTTTTTCAGTATCTTGATGTGGGTGGTAGTTTTACTGCTGTGTATTAATATAAATACATACATTTTACATTTAAAATTTGTGCACTTTATATACTTAAAATTCATTGACCAATCCTTCAATTAAAGAATAGATGTAGCAAAAAA